GCGGGGATTTCTTACAGATATATGAGATATTTATATGATTACACTTCTTCAGATTTCACAGATATCACATATTCAATAAAATAATATAATCATTTCTAACAATAATATGAAACTGTTGAATACAAGTATAGATACAATACTACAATGACTTTAAGCAATGTTGAAATTACAATAACAATAAATAGCTGATATATATACAACTCAACAACTTTAATACAAAGAGATTTAATAATTAACTTATGTGATTTCAACATCTACAGAATTAAATACAAAAGCACTGAAGAAACACTTAGATACTTCTGCATATTTCAATACTTTTGATCTCACTCTCTACTCATTATGAAGAATGAAAATGCTCATGAAACTGAGTATAGATGAAGATGTCATCAGTTCATTAATCAATCAAGATTGATATATCAATGAATAATTGAAGAATCACATGAAACAAAAGTTTCATTCATGAATAAAAGTATGTGAATCAGTATTGTGAATGCCTGACAACATTATTAAATATCTTGATATTATGTTTTAAGACACTGCTATACAATAGAAAGTATTAGATTGATTACAGAGTATCTGATAGAGAAATACTTCTCTTACAACATTCATTTCTGACTTCAACATCAAGATTCTAGAAGCAGATGATCAATCTTGAAAAATTAAATGAAGATTAGTATACTGAAGAAGATATTAACTTTCAAACTCTTACAGGTTCTTGTAAGTGTAGATAAAGATCAGACTTATGAAGATTTCTGTACACAGCTCTGAACATTGAACAACTGTCTTATCAAGCTTAAGAGTATACAGAACAGTGATAGAGAATGTTACACTTTAGTCACTTATACACTCACACTGAAGAACAGCAATATGCAGATGTCATGAACTGAATAGATTCAAATGTCTATACATAAGCAAGAGTTTTCATCATTCAAACAGGCTTTCAAGTTTCTGAGATCACTTCTAAGAAAGTTGCTGATTGATGTCAACATGAAGTATGTATCAACTGTAACTGAGTAGAACATATCACTTTCAACTGTCAATCAACCTACATGTCTTCACACTCAAGGGAGAGATCAGCATCTTCTCATTCAAGAGAAAGATCAGTGTCTTCTTATTCAAAGAATGAGTCAGCATCTGTTCACATCAATCATATTACAGTGAAGAAAGATTCAGAAGATAACTATAAGAATGTTCTGATGAAACAGGGAAAAGATTAGCTTCTGTTCAAATTCACAAACAGAAGCTTGAAGAGATCAGATGATAACAATTTGAAGAGAAAATAACAATGAATGTGATTCTTATATCTACTGTGATTGATAATATGTATAATATAAAAGCCATGATAGACAGTGATCTATGTTACTATACAATGATAAAATCCTCAGTTGTAAGATATTATAATCTTCAGTATATCTCTTTATCAAAAGTCTGACTTCTCACAGAATTTAATGATTCAGAAGATGGTTGTATTTATTACATGATAAAACTAAATATAGATGTGAGAGAACATTAATATGAAGATATCTATATATATGAAGTTGATAATCTTGATTATAATCTTATATTAGAACTTGTCTGACTATCTGAATAAGGCATCTTATTGAATGTCTGAAACAGAAGCTTGATATTCTCTAACAATGATAGAATTCACCAAGATGATATTCACAAGACTATAGACCTTACACAGATCTCTGTCAACACTTATGAAATACTCTGAAAAAGAAGTCATCATCAAAATTACTGACAGCAGAATCATGTATTAATCTATTTCATTAGTCTGACTGATATTAAAAAGGCTCTGGAAAAGTTATTCCATGTTACAAGAACAGATTCTCATATGAAACTTCCTCAATAATATTATGAATATCTAGATATCTTCTGACAAGATAATAATGTTACAAATCTATCTCCCTTACAAGGTTCAGAAGTGAATCATAATATCAGATTGAAAAAGAGAGACAGTAAGAACTCTGAATTATTATAAGGTTCTCTTTATAATATGTTCTGAGATGAACTTCTTCTTCTTCAAAAGACACTCAATAATCTATTAAATAAAGAATTTATACATATTAGCAACTCTTCTACTGCAGCCTCTATTCTCTTTGCAAAGAAGTCAGATGAAGAACTTCAGTTCTGTGTGAATTATCAAGAATTGAACAGATTAATAAAGAAGAATTGTTATTCTTTATCTCTTATCAATGAGACTCTAGCTCACATTGAATAAGCTCAATAATTTACAAAGTTAAATATCATGACTGCATTTCATAAGATCTGCATTACTGAAGAAGATAAGTGACTTACAGCATTCTGAACTTAATATAGTCTCTGTGAATGAGTAGTTATACTCTTTGAACTGGCTAATGCCTTCAGTTCATTTCAGAAGTATATCAACTGAACACTTCAAGACTTTCTTGATGAATTCACATCTGCATATCTTGATAACATTCTCATCTTCACTGATGAATTCAGAAAACAATATCAAGAACACATGCAAAAGATATTACAACAACTACAGAAAGCAGAACTGCTCATAGACATAGATATATTAGGTCACGTGATCTGGCTTACTAATCCTTTCACCATATAACTTTTCACAAACCTAGCAACCTTTCAATCACACAAGCTTTACATTTTTCACAGGTTATGAGATCTGTTTTGCACAAAATTGCTGCCAATTCAGGATTTCTTATTAATATAATTATTATTTAACTACTGCTTCATTTGATACACTTATCAGAAGTTAAAATCATCTGATTCTATCAGTATTGATGTGTTTGAGATCTTGATAATTAATAATACTACTGCTCACTTAAAAAAGAGGCTTGCAGAAAATGCATTATATTTGCAAAAAAGTAAGAAAAAGAGAATAATATTGACAAGAATTCAATAAATGAATATCAAGATGACAGATTCAATATAATCCCGCTCATATACACATTTGCAATCTTGCATTCTTTTCACTGAGTCAGTTGCAGTTGATGATGATTCTTTACACTCATACTCTGTCAGTGAACATTCTTCTGAAGCTTTTGAAAACTTCATTGATAAATACTCTGAAACACTCTCTCAATTCAAAGCTGGTTTGAATACAGCTTCTGTGTCACGCTCCCGGCCGCGCCAAGGCCCCGTTGCGGTTCCACACGGCTCATCACTTCCATGCGGATGATTTCATCCCATCTGAACCGGTTTCCAACCACTCTATGACATCATTCAAATATATCATAGAAAGATTCAATTGATGAATATAAGAACCCTGCTTTTATATAAGGTCAGCAGATTACTCTTCCTTGGCAATGAGACGCCGCTGAGGTATCACTTCAGCTATTCTTACTTGTGAAATGAAAGAAGAGTATTCACTCATTGTCTATATAGAATAACTAGATGCTGGCTTCTCATGAAAGAAGTCAGTAATTCATTTTTCTTCACTGAAATACATACAAGAGTTACTGTGTGTCTCATACAATCTTCTTAGTATACTAAGTATCATATCTGTGATATCCTCACAATAACCCTGTAGTCTATAAGCTCACTATTTAAGCAAGATAGTCAATCTCACTTATACAGCTTCTCAAACAACTATCTCTATATATCACTGCTGACTAGTCACTGCTTCAGTTTCATCATGTTACAATTCAAATCACTTGACCTGATTACATGTTTGAATCAGTCAAGCTCTAACAGACTGATATGGCCTCACACACCTGCACTGAGACCAACCCAACCCCACTCTCTGAGAGAAACACTACATCATTCTCTAGAGTGTGTACATCTCTATCTCAGCAGAAATCTGAGATTCCTGAATCTGCTGCACATTTTGACATGAGCTCTTCAACTGCTCTGTCACTGTCATGGCCTCTACACATCTACATCTATCATGAAGATAGAGAAATTAAGGTCAGAGATTCTCTGAGATATAAGAGAAACATCTTATCTGAATTTCACAGCTTTATCTGCACTCTTGAACAGAAATTCTGCCTTAATCTGAGCTAGTATAATACTCATGAGATATGAGTAATATACATTATTAATCTTCTTGAAGGCATCTCTGCAATTACTTGAGTCATTAAGAAGAGAGAGCTTGAGTGTATCAATACTATCATGACTTGAAAAGAATTCAAAAACTTTCTACTGAATCAAATGAAAGATCACTGCAATCACAGCTTCACAGCAGCACAGCAGTTCAACTCATTACATTAATAAGATGATAAGAATTCTTTCAATTTCAATATAAGATTTGAAGAATATTGAGAGAAACTGACTGATGATTTGAATCAATTAAAAATATAGCTTTATCTCACAAAGCTGACTCACAAGGTGTGAACAATGATATCATAATATCAGAGTTTATCAATCAATTGCACTGAGCTTGTTAATCTGACTAGACTGACCGTGTGACCGTGTCTGGGACCAGAATCAAACTTTACAGTTGTCACATTGCCTAAAAGCATTACTTCTGGTCATAGTTTGTGTTCATCACATTGATCTCAAATCCTGTTATTTCAAATATTAAAGGTCCCAGATTCACTTTTCAAATAAAAATCTAGTCTCAGATAAAGAATATATTTGAATTCTTAGTCACATTTTCATTCTGATCTCATTATTGAAAATGGCACTAAATGAAACCATGAAATCATTTCTCACTTACATAATATCATAACATAGTGCTCATTTGTTGAAAATTCAATAGAGAGTATTATCAAATATCATTACTTTTCTGAACACAGATCATAATCAATATCATTTTAATTAAAAAAAAAAATGTACAATACAAAAAATAACAAAAAAACAAATAATAAAATAACAAGAAAAAATCACAATAAAAAAAAAAAAAAAAAAAAAAAAGAGAAAGAAAAAAAGAAGAGAAAGAAAAAAAGAGACAGAAAGAGAAAGAAAAATAAAAAAAAAAAGAAAAGAAAAAGAAAAAAACAAAAAATAAAAACAAAAAATAAAAACAAAAAAAAATCAAGATTGCAGGGCCACAGCACTTTTAAAATACTCACTTCTCAGAGTCTTCACAATGTTCATTATCAACTGTGTATCTCTCACAGTGAGAGTAACACAGTCACAATGAGTCATTGTCTTAACACTATCTAATAAATAATCAGTATATATCTATATAAATGTGAATAATTAGAAAACATACACTTAAAAAGTGTGATCAGGGTGAACTCTGCTATCACTTGAATGACATCAAGGACAGAATGCTGGAATTGATGATTTCTCTCATCAATTTCACAGACAAGGCGCGTGAAGATGGTCTTGAGAAATATAAGATTCTCAGACTTCTGATAGAAATGAATCTCACAGAGAGACTCTATTTTCATCATATCAGAGACTGAGTGTTATCAAAAAGTGTTACTTCAATGCATATGTACTTACTGCAGCAATTCACTCTCTGTGCATGTGACTGAGAGTTGCAGCTTTCTCATGCTGCATGACTCTTCCTGAGATGCTGCTGCTGGTTTGCAACTCATGCAGTCTCTCAGTCCAGCATGCACTGTGCATATGCAGCCCTGCGTGCTGAGGCCGTGTTGATCATTATGGCCTGGTGTGATACTTGCTTTTCACGGGCCATGTTTCATTTGATTGGGAGGAAGAGGGGAGACATGACTGCTGTTTTATTTGAGAGAGAATGAATAATTGAATCTGTAGAAGATAATTTGATTTCTTCTATATTTGAAATTTGATTAGTCTATACTCTTCAATTTGAGAGTTTCTGAGAGTGTTTTAATAGTTTTCATACCAGCTTGGAATTAGTGATTGATTGAAGAAGAGAAAAGAGAGAAGAAAGAAATGAAAATAACTTATCTTTATAATATGAAAACAGAGAATTGCTGCAATCATTTGTTCTAGCAACAAAGATCTGTTTTCTGCATGTATCTCTGATACAGATTATATGATAACTGTATATAAAGAATATCAACAGTGCATGCATTGAATGAAGATGATGTTGCTATACAACACTGTAGCTGTTTCTGTACATCACTGAAAGCTGTTAATATTTTCTTTGAGTCTCTTTATATTTGATAAGTCAGTAATATATTTCAATGCACTTTCTCTTTCATCATTATCATTATCATCATCATCATCATCATCATCATCATTATTATTATCATTACTATCATCATCATCATTATCATTATCATCATCATCATTATCATCATCACTATTATCATCATTATCATATCATTTCTGGCCGCCTCTTCTGCCTTCATCTCTCTTCAATGCTCACTGAAATCAATCATGTCATCTCTCTTCAAATATTCTGCAGTCCTGCGGACCACCAAGGCGCGTGAGCACTGTCACAGATTGAAGAAAGAGGAGAAGAAGGCATTCAAGTGAGAGAAGACAGATTGCAAGACATGTTATAATGCCTTGAAGAGACTTCATAAGAGAGTAGAATGATAACAATTTTAAGTAACACTTCTGATAGATTTAGACTGAACTAAGTATAGAAATAATACAGATAATGTCACTTATAAGAGATTGAAGAAGAAGACAGTGAAGAGTCTTATGCAGTAGTGATGAGATCAGAAGAAGTTCTGAGAATGATTTAAGATCAAGATGAAGAGAGAAAGAGAGAAGAAGAGTGTTACTATAAATAAGTGATAATAGAAGAAGATTGAGAGAGTATTAAAGTGAGAGACAAAGAAGTCAAAACTGATAAGTTTTTTATTTATTGAGAGATAACAATTTTTGATAATGCTTCTGTTCTCTAATTGATTAGCAGAAGCTGACAGAGAAGAAGAGGATTGAGATCTTGTTCAGATCTTGAATGCACTTCATGATTCAGAACATTGAGAAGACAGTTCTGCTCTCTGAGCATGTCAATCTGCTTATCACTGAGGTGGAACCTGAGGCAGCAGACCAGGAAATACGGGATTTTGAGGCACAGATTGACCTGACTGAGGGAAAGCAGTGAGAACTCTTCTCTAAGAAGACAGTGAAGGGAGATTTTGAGGTGATTATCACCTCAGATGAGGAGAAGAAGAAGGAGAAGAAGAATGAGAAGTGAATTATAAAGAATAATAAGAAGAATGAGAAAGAGAAGAAAGATGATGAGTAGAAAAAGTTTTTTTCTTTTTATATTAGTTAGTTGTAAGTTCATAATTATTAATAATTGAAATTAATTTTGAGTTTTTAAAAATTATTGTACAAGTTGTAATCAAGTCAGGAACAATATATATATATATATATATATTTAACTATCATGATTCACAAATCACTATAATGTATAAGTATCAACATTTTTTCAACATTGATATTCACAATATTAATATATTTTTAATGATATCATCTGATAATGCAATTTAGTAATGCTCTCTTTCACAATATTAATATATTTCAAGAAATATGACAGAGATTAATCAGATTGTTTATTTACTTTTATACA